TTTGGTTTGTGCTGTGTGTTAGCCTGCTGAGCCGTCTCCATGGCATGGGAAGATTTTAAGAAATAAGTAATGTGCACAATCCAATTAGAGCAGCTTACATTAAAGTACTATGGCTGACAACTTTGCAAGGGGGTATTTTGTACTCAGAAGAGTGGCTTGTTAATGCTAGTAGCTGGAGAGCTGGGAAAATTGGCTTAGCATTTTTCTGAACCAGATTTCTTTAGTATCTTGTTCTGTGAGATCAACTTTGAGAACATCTTTATTATGATATATATATATATAATGTGTACTTATATAATTAACATGTTATATATTATATATGTATTGTATAGATATACATGTCAATATGGCATAATATAAATTTGTAATTGGATTATCTAGAAGAACCCTGAAATTATCCATGATGTAACTGTAGACAACTCCCTAGACCTCTACAGACCCCAAGTTTCTCACTGATGACCTAGAGACATGGTAGAAGATCAGGAAGGTGGGGGTGTCTCCTTGTGTGTGACAACTGTGCAGAACTGGTCACTGGAGGGATTTGACTGCACAGGAGAGTCCATGCCAGACTCCAAGTCGTTCTGCCTCTAGCTTCACATTCCCAAAGTGAACCTTTGCAGAGAGAGGAGAGGTGGCTCTCCATCTGGAAAGTGACAAGATTTTCTGAACCTGGATTTAAAAAAAAAAAATTTTATCACCTTTACCTACTCATTGTCAGTTCATTGATAGAGAAATCTTAGTAGGTTGGGATTTCGGTTGCTAAATTAAGACATCCAAATAAATGTTCAGTTAAAGGAAATAAAAAGCATCAATCTCTACACACTCCAGTCATTTAAGCTTCTGTTGGTGCTCTAATACATTTTTAGGTGTCTTTTATGTTTTCTGAGATTCTGCTGGGAACAAATAGGCTTTGGGCATTTAGCAGTATAATTCAAGAGAGATATCAGTTCTTCCAGTTGCAAGAGGCACTGTTTCCCGGAGCGTGGTTGTAGTCATGTCAGTCAGCTTAATACCCCATGGTGAAGACAACTTGGAAACGTGGTCTCAATGATAGAGACCTGGCTACCTGGCTAGGCAACCTGTCTGCCAAACATGGAGCAAGGACTCAGAAGCTTGCCTTTTAATAAAATTATCATCCATGTCTTTCATTGATCTAACAATAAACCATTAAGAATGGTAGGGTCTGACCCAAAAGTTTATTATTTGAAAAGACCAATACCTGGCCTGATGAGACTCATTCAAACACAAACTGCACCCAGAGGCCATAAAAAAAAAAAAAAAAAAAAAAAAAAAAAAAAAAAAAAAAAAAAAAAAAAAAAAAAAAAAAAAAGCCATGGGGGAAAAAAATGTATACAAAAAATTAAAAGACTAATTGTGGTAAAAACAAATGTTTGAACACTTGGTCCCCAGTTGGTGGTCCAACTGTGTGTGAAGTTTTAGGAGACCCTTTGATGGAGTAAGTATGTCCCTGGGGTGGACCCTAGGAGGTTACAGCATTGGCCTGCTGTAGTTCATTCTCTCTGCTTTGAGCTTGTGGTTCAGGATGTGAGCTCCCAGCTTCCTGCTGCGGCCACCATGCTTCTGGTTGGCCATCATGAACTCTCATCTCCGAAACTATAAGCTAAAATAGACTCTCCCTTCCTGAAGTTCCTTCTACTCATGGTGTTCTATCACACTAATGCCAAAGTAGCTGGTGCACCAACAATTCAGAAAATGTATATTCATCAAAAATAAATGCTCAGATTTTCTAGCTTGGAGAGCCTGTCTTACCTGAGTTGGTTTCCCTGACACACAATAGGATTGGGTTTCACTTGAATATTGGTTCATTTGGCCTGCTTTTCTCAAGTTAAAGCCTTGAATCCCAGGTTTCAAGAGATTCCATGTAGTTCCTCTGACCCTGGTGACCAATCAGGAATCTGAGAGCTGATCAGATCTCTAAACTGCTCTGCCATTGTCTCCACAGTGACACTGACAATGTCACCTGAAGTATCTGTGGTCTTTACTAATAGTACCTCTTGTGGGAAACTCTCAGAACTCATCCAAGATAATAAAAATCATAAATAATAGATGGTATTGAAATGATCTGGAGGCATTACAGCTACAATAAATATAGTTGGGCCTTATGGAGACTAGAAACAAAAACTCACTTCAACCGCTTTCTAGGTCCCTCTTCCTCTTTCTCTTTCCCACATTCTCATCTTTGCTTCTTCTTGGTAAATCTAGCTTTATTGATTACCTCTCATTTAATTTTTCATTTTTTTTACATAAGCTCTGCCCTTCTATCCAGTTCCAATTCCACTAGGTGTGACCTTAACACCTCGTCTAAACTATCTTAGTATCAAATTCAAAATCACAGGATTTGAAGTTCATGGCTCTGGGGTTTGTGGAAAGAAAAGGAGTGCTATGTGCATTGACTAATACAGGGCCCAAACTATACTACCCTCCCACGTCCCACATACTCTACCCATTTCTAACGGACCACAGCTGGGGCAACCGGTGATTGCTACCCCTACCTAAGGGGAAGGGGTCACTAGAAGGTTTGACACTTTGTATATTTCATTTTATTTTCCGAGTTTTGCTTAGCAGCCTCTTTTGGGATTGACTCTTGGTAACATCCCTTCCATGGATCAAGGCTTCACCTGTTGGACGCAGTGTGGGGAAGAAATGATTCTTTCCTAGGAAAAAGTTACTTCTTGAAAGAATGCTCAGACGCCAAGAGAATATGTGAGACCATTACATAGATATATATTTGATATGATATGTGATTTCTGTTACAGGTTAATATTTATTTTATTATCAGTAAGAGTGAGTTACATATTACTCAAAGTATTGGATACAATAATCAGAAAACAAACATAATTGGTCCAGAATTTAAAACTTCTGAGAAAAGTGCTGGCACAGGACTTGATAAACCTCTCATTTCTGTTCCATTTTACCCTAAAAAAAAAAAAAAAAGAAAAGACTTCCCACATTGTAGAATTAAAAAACAAAACCAAACCAAGTTTCCTTACATTCTGATGACTTCAGGACAAAAAATTTGCCATACATTATCCAGATTCTTTGCTCCTGTGGCGTATTCCTCAGCGCTGTCCTTTCTTTTGTCTATGCTTTCGCCTGTGCCTCTTCCTAGTAGGAACTGAAGTGCTCTTAACATGTTTATTATTACGTAAGAACAGTGAGACACAGCATTTCAGACAGGGAGGGGAGAAGGGGAAGTGAGCGAAGAGGGAAAAGGCATGTATGTCAGACAAGGGAATACGTATGAAACATGTTCAACTCGATATGAGTCAGACGGCTATATAGCTTCTCTACTTGATGAGTATGATTATTATTAAGCAATTAAACAAGGTTAAAACTCCAAAGACTCTGAATGTGTGCTGTATTAATCACTCCCATAAGCTTTCATTTAGTGTCCCGGATATCTCCCTAGTGGGGAAAGTCAACCTTTTCGGTTCCAAGATGGTTTTCTGGGGCTACAAAAAGCTCTTCTTTGGCTATCAATTCCTCTCCTTAGCCACTGGACTTACTTAGAAGTGTCTTTAACACCAGAAGTAGCTTTTAAACCGTTCACCATTGGGCTTTGTACTAAGAGAACGTTAAATGTGCTAGAATGCGGGTAGAATAGAGAGACTCGATGCTGAGGAGCCTACACACCAAGACTTTATATCCCAAACCTGCCTAGAGTTCCCTAGCTCTGAGGCTTGGCTGCTTGGATGCTCCAGACTGACCTCTCTCCACTCCCTGCTCTCTGGCACCCACAAGTTCCATGGAAAATGCGCCCTCCGTAGTTGCTCTTTTCTCTAATCAATCTCCTGTAGGACCTTAAGACGAACATCCTTGTCCTGCCTCATTGTGAGCCCCGAAAAACTCTCTGCAAACCCACAGGAAGACAGCGAGATTCACTTTGGTCATCTTTCACACTGGGCTGTCCCTCTGTGTTTCCCAGCCAGTGGGCTGATTTTACAGGACCGACCTGTGCTTACTTCTTTGCTAGTCCCTCTTTCTGCCTTATTCTCCTTCTCCATGTGTCCCTGTGTTCCAAATTTGCTAAGTTCCCAGGAAGTGAAGAAAATGCCTGGTAGGGGACTCAGTTTCAGGAGTGAAAGTCACTTAGAAATGAACTAGCCACCTACGTAATTCTTAAACCACCACTTGTATAACAGCATCATTTGGCAAATCCCTAGAAAGGGGTGCTTACTAGTTTATTAATTGATTTGATAAGGGATATCTACTGCTCTTCAGGAAATAGTCAAACTCTTCTTGTTGAAAAGGATTTTACATAGAGAACACAGTCCAGTGAAGTCCATAAATGGGATAAAATAAAAACTTTTTTTGATGAAGTTCACCTAATGCATTTGAAATGAAAACCTGCTTAAAGTTCAATTTATACAGTTAAGGGTGGTGGTGGTGGTGGTGGGAGTATGAAAAAAGAAAAAAAAATACTTCCATACATTTGGTTCTGCCTTTCAAAAGGTATCATCTATATAGGAGAAAGTGTGTGTGTGTGTGTGTGTGTGTGTGTGTGTGTGTGTGTGTGTACACATGTGAGTCTGTTTACACAAACAGCCCTGTCCTAACAGACAAACATAAGACACAGCCTCCTCTATTACTCTTGGAAGGATGGCTTCTTTTAGCCGATTTGATTTAAATATCAATCTCAATCCAGAACAATATCAAGCTCAGACAGAAGCCCAGATTATGGGTCAGATCTGAGGCTAATCATAGGCTCCCTTCAAGAACAAGAAGCGAATCCTTCTGTGCACTGACCACAATTTAGTCCCGACACTTTCCTACATCCCAGACCCACTTTCGGCTGTGGCTGTGCTCAGAATCATGAGACACAAGCACTCCGGGGCTCACACACTAAATTTCCTACTTTCTCAGGCAATTTGCTCAAGGGAAACTGGGGTGGAGGGGAGGCAGGGAGGAGGGAGGAGGCGGGGGGGGGGGGNCAAGCACTCCGGGGCTCACACACTAAATTTCCTACTTTCTCAGGCAATGGGGGGGGGGGGGGGGGGGGGGGGGGGGGGGGGGGGGGGGGGGGGGGGGGGGGGGGGGGGGGATGCTAAATAAGTGTTATGCATTCTTTTCTTCCAGATGTCATCCTACTTTTTCTAATTTCTCATATTTAAAAGAATGTATTTTCTTCTCGTTGCCATGGAAACTGCTGTTAACACAGAGAGGTTTTTTTTTCCCCCTCCAGAAAGTTTCTAGGCCAATCTTAATACATTTGGCCTCTCCTTTGGAAGCAGAATACTTACCGCCCATTTATTGCCTTATATGTTAAAAGAATACACATGTGTATATATTGCTTTAAATTTGAAATTATATAAAGATACGGCAGATATATGGATATATGATGCTGCTGTTGGCTGCAGAAGCATGCCTTCCTGAATTCTTTCATAGCCCCGGGGCACCGCCCTTGAGGCGTCTCCCCCACACACACCACACCTCATCCTCCTTGGACAAGCGTGGCCACTCACACAGCTTGTAAGAGTAGTCAGTTGAGGTCCCCAAAACAGGAGCCACCTGGGTGAGTGTGAAATACCGAGTTAACTCTTTGGGAAGTTTTAGACATTTTGCTATTTCAATTAATATAAAAAAGATATGTAAAGTCAGAAAAGTTTTTTCCAAACAGTCCAATCAGATTCTTGGGTACTAGCATTTCTAACTGGGAGAGGCGAAGGCTGATTTTTTTTTCCTCGTGGTTTGGAGGTGTAAGGGCTGAACTTAAATGGATTGGGCTCAGACTGGCTTTGCAAAGCCTACTCTATGCATCGTAGCTCCTCTTTAGAATGTATAAAGGAACGCTAGGAACGAGAGGCCAGTGTGGGAAACAAGGTACTTGCTTTAAAATCAAATGATGGCTGCCTTTTAAACAGCTTCCTGCTTTTTATTAACTGAGTTCAGAAATCGTTAGAGGATGATAATTAAAACAATACACAAGACCAGTCAAATGCCCTTGAAAGGGGACCGTTTTCTTTTCAGCCTGGTTCAAAGAGCAATCTAACACCTATTCTTTTCACAGATGGCTTTATGGTAAGCAGTATATTTTTCTGTGACTCGGGCTGACAGAAACTTGGTGGACAGACCTTCATTACAAAGCAGTCAGAAGGAAGAGATGGAAGCAAAGGCCTTTAGTAGACCACAAATCCACATCTGAACCAACATGAGCGAAAGAATTGGCAACAGTCTAGGGGTTGCCTTTTTTTGGGTATCTTGGAGCAAAGCTGCTCTGGGAAAATGTGCAGGTGCTGGAGGAATGCTGTGTTACTACAGAGGATAGACGTCAACTCACAGGGTGATTTTTGAAGCCTGGTAATCTGACAATTGACCAGCTGACTACTTGATTAGCTCCTTATAAAACTTGGAGCGCACAAAACGGGGCAGTGAATCCTTCTCCATCAGGGCATAGATTCTTTTCTGGGCTAGGTCAAAACTGCTCGGGGACGGTTCCACCAGGTTCTTCATGGTGATGTCTTTAGTGAAATGATCGATGTTCACCTGTGGGCCAGGAAACAGGATCACTGAGTCAGCGTAGGCCTCAGGATTGAATGAGGGGCCAGAGCGGCAGGATTCTCACCAGCAAGACACAGGACAGAAGGGATGACGTGCAAAGGGAGAAAGACCACTGCTGTTTCGGAAGCAGTGGGGTGAGGAAGCTGATGCTGCAGCGAGCATGTGACTCGGATTCAGAGGCAACTGGCATTAGACACCTACCAGGTGGCCTCCACCTGTAGCCAATCTATGCATATGCGATTTCATCCTTCAATAACCTAAGAATATATCTACAAGTGGCTCAATATCATATCTCTGGTAAGAGGTTTTTTGGTCTTTTTGTTTTGTTTTGTTTTTCAAGACAGGGTTTCTCTGTATAACAGCCTTAGCTGTCCTATAACTCACTCCTGTAGACCAGGCTGGCCTTGAACTCACAGCTGAATGTGTTGATCTGGCTCTTAAATGGATTCACTCAGCCACCTACCCACCAGTACCAACCTCTTTAGGGGCCTCTGTCTGGATGAATTCCTCATAAATTTGCTTTGCCTTCTCCGCCATTTTGACTGGGGATTTTATCTTCTTGTAATCCTCACAGGCAACCCAGAACTCAAGGTTTTCCTCGCTGAACTCAGATCTCAGGAAACCTTTGAAGCTGGCAAGTCCATCTAGGAAGTGAAAAGTCAGTAGGGAGATTTCATTAATAGATTTGACAAACTATATCTAGCTAAAAACCCCCATTTTACTTCCAGTACATTCTGTCATTGATGTAAAAAAAAATCTTACAAATGGAAACTCATTTAATTTTATTATACACACAAAGAGCAGGAGCTATAAGTGTCCTGTTTTATAAATGAGGTCACAGAAGTCAAGCGACTGCTCCAGAATGTCCAGCAAGTAAGAGCAGGGTTGGAACTTAAAACCAGGTTCTGATTCTGTAGCCGCGCACATTTGTCTGTTATTCTAAACCACTTCTCAAAAGATGTGTGATTCTGTTTCTTGGAACAGGACCCTTCCATTAGGAGTTTCCTATTCTCACCTGAACTTGAACTGAGAGAAAAACATAAGGTGGAACAAAGATGCTGGAGATGACATGGGAAGGCTCCATCATGCTGTCCCATGCGCTGACTTTTAGTTTATCTGCCTTTACCCCTTCATCCACATGCAGGCAGGCTGGGACAGAGATGCAAGAGGCAGCAGAGAAGATCGCTGCTTGTCATCCACTCTGACACTGGACAGAGGCCTTTGCCTCACAGTCTTTTACACAAGCGAATGCATTCAGGTGGCAAATGTCCATGACACTGAGGTTTTGCCGTCAATACTGATGGCATTCAGGGCACACATCAACTCCGAGGAAAACCTTTATTGTTAGTAGTGGAAGCTGAATGAAGAGCCTTGTGCATACTACACAAGCACTCTACCACAAATCTATATTTCTAGACCCCCAAAACATATTTAAAACTTGGTTTGTCAAGCTAAGTAATATTTATAATGAATGACTGCCAGAAACTATTATCTCGTTTCCTCTTTTTGCAGGTGACTTTTGAGTGAGTGCAAATACGTCACTCTGGTAAATCAAACAAGCTTGGGTCCCTAGAAGACGTTAGAGATTCCATGGAAAGTAGAAAGAAAAAAACAATGAAGACTCATTGATCATCTGTACAACAGAAGCCATTGGAGCATAGCAACAGAGTCCCAGAAGGACCCTAAGTTCAGTTCAGACGGAAGGTGAAATAGGAATGTACAGATTAACATCTGGATGACGGGGCCAGGTGACGCTGTCACATACAGGTCATTCCTGTGACCACCAGTTGGGTTTATGTCAGTGTGTAGAAAAGCTATAGAATGTAACAGAGCGACTGTGAGTCTGTGAAGGGCTGGCTGTATGTGCTATCTGTATACATGTGATAATCACAGGCTCTGCGCTTTCCTGTTTCCTTCCCACCCTTCAGGACTAACCTCCCAGGCGGCAGATGCAGAGAGCTCATGAAGAGGACTTAACAAGGTAGTGGAGATGAATAATAAAGAAAAATAAATCTAAACTTAATTTTAGATTTAGGATGGGCATGTGTACATGTGCATTTGCACATCATACCTAAAACTAACAGTGATCTTAGCATTTGGTTCACAGCAGGAAGAGAACTGGTGAACCAGCTTCCCATCACGGAGACCTGTGCCCTGAATACTGACTTCATCGCTCTGGTGAATTCCACAATACGATAGTAAGGCTTTTTGTCAATGTGTGTGCTTTAAACCCAAACACATGAAATAGCTTTATGCCCCATTGGGCTGGAGGCCATTTAAAGTGACCCCTTCCCCCACCTAGCTTCTCAGTATCTAGGGATTCTCTTAGCAGCCTCATCCGCAGTCACTCCTCGTCAGCTTTCTGCACTCTGGTTTTCTATTGGTCTTTCCTCAGAGGCTTTTTCTGTTGAATTCCTGCCACCCCTGGACATATCCTTTTTGAGTCAGAGTTTTTCTGATTCCAGGCCAAATAGCTCTGTTTTACAAGGTACAGATATCTCTCTTACCCCACTTCTTTTACCTGGGGGCTTCCCAGCACGGAACTCTAGCACACAATCCCAAGAAAGCACTCCGGGGCCTATATAAGCCAGCACAGAGCCTCAAATTACCTCTCAGCATGCCCAGGCATCCCACTAACCAGGACTCTGATTAGTGGGATGCCTGGGTATCCATCTGATGACTGGCCATAAGCATTCTGCGGGTGTGGAACCCATACATCATACAGCACCAATACATTATAATTCAGAGCTGGCCCTAATGAGCGATAGCAATTTTTGACATTAGGGGAATCAAAGAAGCAGCCTTATATAAGAGGGGGAACCACCCGTAAAACCCCTTTGAGGATAGTAGGAGCATTAAACAAATCCAAGACTCTAAGTCAGATTGTTATAAAATATTGAAAATGAGATTAGTACAAATACTTCAGCAGAGATGAATTAGGGGAAGACACTGAAATAGCATTGGTAATTTATAAAAACTATGGCATGATTCGTTGGTTCAAAACTCAGACTTCAGACCCTAGATTGCTTAGTGGTGAGTCTTGACACCTTTATTATGAAAGGACATTTAGCCTCACGGAGCCTCTGCTGCTTTGTATGTCAAATGCAAACAATAATTAAAGCTGTATGACAAGACTGTGGTACAGGACTGAATAGCTCACGTGTGGCTTCTATATGGTGGCAAGCAAAATTTCATAAGTTCAGTACACACTGGCTTTCTTCATCGTCATTTGTGCCGAATTCAACACTACCACTTGTCGCCATTACAAGCCCAACCCAAATGTTGCCTCATCCATGACATCACCTTCCCCACCCCCACCCCCACTGTCACCTACTCACCCTTGAGGATTTTTGTCAATGGAGGGGAGACATCGCTTTCTGCCCCGCCCATCCACCCCCACCAATTGGAAATACCTGCTGTTCAGCCATCTTTTCCATGAGGCTGTTAATTATTTGAGTTCTGAATCTTCGCTTCCCCTTTCCTACCTCCCTCCTCGAATATATGCACCCAATTATTAATAGTGGATCTCAGTGAACTATGAAATCAGCAGATCCCTCCAACCCACAGGACCAAAGAACATGAACTTTAAAGAAAAGTAAATACCCCAACTTTGTTACTGCTGCAGTATTGAACATCAGAGGCAAGCTACCTAGCTCTCGGAATAATGGATGCTTTTTCTGAAAAAAGAAATGGTTGTTGCACTTAAGTCTCAAGATGACTTCAGTCACTAAATAGACCAATATATGCAAAGTTCTTAGTGTGTATGTGTATATATAGTATTTATAGAAAGAAAGAAAGAAAGAAAGAAAGAAAGAAAGAAAGAAAGAAAGAAAGGAAGGAAGGAAGGAAGGAAGGAAGGAAGGAAGGAAGGAAGGAAGGAAG